ATACTTTAGAAAATCATATTGTCTGATGATAGAGATAGTTACTGTTAGAGTATTTTTCAAGGACTTTTTGTGGACAGTGCTGCAGAATTTAGTTTTATCAGAAAAGTTAGATTTTGTAAAGGTTTCACTAAGTAGTGAGTGTTAGTCTAAGTAAGTATGTAATTATATCATACTGAGAAAGTGTTTCTTTAAGATTCTAAAAGCCACCTAGTGGTTATTTAGGAAACTCTTTTATAACAAGCATTTGTTAACTCCTTCTGTGTTGGGTTTTATTTTGGAAAGGAGCTAAAAAATTTCAGGTTTTTTTATTTTGCTTTTCATTAGTCTATAATAATACATGAAAACATACAAATAAATTTGTGGAAATAATTAATTAACTCGTGCAAATATGGAGGTTACCAAAATTATCTCGGACAAATTCTGGAAGGGGTTAATAAAATGTTCGAAACTCAAATTTTGTTTTTATTTTCTAACATTAGCTCTTGCCATTTATTTGAATACAGAAAGAAGTGTTTGTAGGGTTAATATGGTACGTAACATTGGATACATTGTAAAATCTAGCTGGATGTGTTGGGTTTTCCTATTATCGGGTTATGTTTCTGTAATTCCTTTTTTTATGTGCAACCTATAAACTGTTATTGTGCTTTAAGTTAAGACTAAAACTGTCTTATGTAGCATAACCATACTTAATTACATGGCAAGTTTCTTTATGTTCCAGCTCCTTGGGCCAAGTATTCACCCTCGACACTGTGTTCTTGCTCACACTGATGGTATTGTCACCGTAACACCGTCCAGTCAGAATGCTGAAACATTTGTAAACGGGTCAAAAATATTTGAGACAACGATCCTGCAACATGGCATGGTGGTTCAATTTGGAAAGTTTCACACTTTTCGATTTATTGATCCCGCAAAAGAACAGGCAAATACTTCTTAATAATTATCAGTTAGTGACTGTCGGGTAGAATATTCTCACGTTTTCTTTATTTGACCACTGACAAGGCTTCTGTTATATTAGGTTTCTTCAGAATTTACAAAGTGTTCACATTAATGCACTGTTTTATGTGTAACTGCACAAGTTTTAATATCAGGGACCAGGGTTTTTGTTGGTACGGAGTTTTGACTGAATGCCTCCTTTGGTATTTCAGCTTTGATTTTCACAGAATTATAAATGTTTGTGTTAGTTTTTAGTTCGTATGTCAGTTAATAAGTGAATCTCACCACGAAAATTGGCAATAGCATAAAATATGGGAAACTGGTGACTCACATGTTCTGGGAGAGAACGTGAATGTACCTATGTGACTGATTGCACATTAGGTAGGTGCGTGTGTGATTAACCCTCAGCATGCAGGCAGATCAAACTGAGCATGTCACAACATTTTAGTGAGTTACATTCAAAACTTAATTAAACTACCTTATTATCATGGATATTCGATCAAACCTGACATCAAACCATAGATAATAAATCAAATTTTAATATTATCCAAGTTTTACGTTCTTAATTATATAAGGAAATATTTAAAAATAACCTCAAATTCCCCTAGTGTGAGATATTTGTTCTTGAGCCATCTCTTCTCCCTGATTTTTTTTGTCCACCCCCTAGAAAAGTATGAAATATAACATAAATATTCTCTATAATTTCGTTATCAATATTCTGAAGCTATATTTTTATATTCTTCAATCTTATGGGGCTAAATAGCAATCAACAAAAATTTAGAAACCACTTTCCATGCCTACCCATGCTCTAATTTACAATTTGCCAATAGAGAGCCTAGATTTCAACTGTTTCATTGCCATAGTCATCATACCATGTGGGCTTACAAATAATTGACAGTTTTGTACGAGAACAAACTGGGGATAATAGTTGAATTTCTCGCTGCTCAAATCACATGATTATAGATGCTTGAATACCGGTACCCGGCAGGAAATATTGCAAACCCTGTCGACGACAGAGAATATTACTCTATGATGTGTAATAGAGACCCAGAATAAATTTATCTTCAAGCTAGTCTTTCCATCCTATTCACCATTGTATACTTTTCAATAAAACTGAGAACTTTTGATTTAATTCAACACTACAACATTCGTGCTTTTCCCCGTGTTGTTGTCGAAGGAAATGTTACGGAATTCAACCTGCGACAATTTCACTCGGATGTGGTGTGATCCTTCTTCAAAATTTTTTTGCAGGAAAATATCCTGGACAAACCAATATACTGAAGACATTATCTTTGCTTAAATATTGCTACAGTTAGTAAGTAATAAGTGAGGAAAACTAGTATGTTCTATTGTGGTCTTAGTACAAAGTTATCAAGGGGAACCAAACCCTAGATTTTAGCATTTTATGTAAGTAAACTTACTGTTGACTCATCTGGGGACCCCATTTATCCCCTGGAATTATACAAGGGGACTCCATGTTTTTCCAAGTGTTTGGTTCTCTGGAACACACAAATCTCAGTTGTTAATGTGAACACTGTTGCTGAAGTGTAGTAATCTTAGTTGCTAATGTGAACACTGTTGCTGAAGTGTAGTAATCTCAGTTGTTAATGTGAACACTGTTGCTGAAGTGTAGTAATCTCAGTTGTTAATGTGAACACTGTTGCTGAAGTGTAGTAATCTCAGTTGTTTTAATGTGAACACTGTTGCTGAAGTGTAGTAATCTCAGTTGTTTTAATGTGAACACTGTTGCTGAAGTGTAGTAATCTCAGTTGTTTATGTGAACACTGTTGCTGAAGTGTAGTAATCTCAGTTGTTAATGTGAACACTGTTGCTGAAGTGTAGTAATCTCGGTTGTTAATGTGAACACTGTTGCTGAAGTGTAGTAATCTCAGTTGTTAATGTGAACACTGTTGCTGAAGTGTAGTAATCTCAGTTGTTTTAATGTGAACACTGTTGCTGAAGTGTAGTATTTGGAATTTAAAATAACTAAGTAAATTGGTAATGAAAGAGTAAATTGTTTTGTAAATTACTTCTGTTGCTAGTTTATTAATTATTTTTACTACTATTATGAATATTAATAATTACAAGCAATTGCATTGAGGTATCCGAATGTCAGATGCGTTTTACGCTTGTTGTATCGTAAGGGTAAAGCTTAACACTGTGTGAAGGAAATGCTGCATGTAAACTAAGAAAACAACCTAATTGGTCAGCGAGTTTTGCTACATTCCACTCTTGTACATGAAATTACTCAGATATCAAGATTTTCCTGGTGTAAAGCTGTTTTTTGGGGTGTGAAATATGGCATAACATTAAAGTTGTCATATAATGTTATAATACAAAAAACAGATAAGAAAAATTAAATGTGATAAAACTAAGAATTTCAACTTTAATATACTTCTCAGTAACAAATTGTAAAACCTCAATATAATTATCTTATAATTTAAAAAAATTTCCAAACGAAGTATTTCCTGCCTTAGCCGAAATAAAAGCCAATTTTTTTTAAATTTTACAGGGGCATACAGTTTCTCCTGATCCTAATAATGTTGACAAGTATTCCGAGAGGTAGGAAGACCTTGAGTTTTTGTAATGTGTGAAATACTGCAGCTAAAAAATAAACATCACAATTATTATTCATTTTGTCATTTATTTAAAGCTTGAAATAATAGGCAATAAAATAATTTTTTTTATTCAATGTTGGAATTTGTGTATGTATCTAAAAATTAGGATGAACTGTGTTGAATAATTTATAGAATGGGTTGAAACCCATTAACAAAATCATAACTTTAAAAAAAATCCTTTAAATATTATGACCAGATGGCTAGGGCACTTGACTTGCAATCTGAGGATTGTGGGTTTGAATCCCTGTCTCACCAAACAAGCTCGCCCTTTTAGCGTGGAGGCATTATCATGTGACAGTCAATCCCACTATTCATTGGTAAAAGAGTAGCCCAAGAGTTGGTGGTGGTTAGTGATGACTAGCTGTCTTCTCTCTAGTCTTTTACTGCTAAATTAGGGACAACTAGTGCATATAGACTTTGTGTAGCTTTGCACAAAATTCAAAATAAACCAAATAGCCATGTAATTTTGATTTTTATTAGAAGAAAAATTGTTAAAAATAACTTCATTCTTTTCTTTTTTTGGGTCATTTTAAGATCTATGCTTGAAGATGTGAAGTGGCTATTGGTTGAAATTGTAGACTTATAAAGCTTGTTAATATATTTTTCTTTCTTTTATGTATTTATATCTATATAACCAGAGCTACTGTCAGTTTGGTGTCAACATTTTTTTGATGAAATGGCCAAACTTTGTGGAGGAACTTGTGTGAATCTCTCAGAGATTAAATCTAATTGGTTTGTTTGTTTTGAATTTCGCGCAAAGCTACACGAGGGCTATCTGCGCTAGCCGTCCCTAATTTAGCAGTGTAAGACTAGAGGGAAGGCAGCTAGTCATCACCACCCACCGCCAACTCTTGGGTTACTCTTTTACCACGAATAGTGGGATTAACTGTCACATTATAACGCCCCGACAGCTGAAAGGGCGAGCATGTTTGGTGTGACGGGGATTCGAACCCGCGACCCTCAGATTGCGAGTCAAGCGCCTTAAACACCTGGCCATGCCGGGCCTTAAATCTAGTTGGATGAGCACTCAGATGAATAGTTTGAGTTAAGAAGCAAAGCCAATACTTAATGAAAGTGGCATTTAATGCTACCAATAGCACAAGTTTTTTTGTATCAGAAGAATTTATTTGCCGTCTATTGCTCAGAATACTGGTAAAGGGTGTGGTGGGGGTATGTGTGTGGATCATACTCGTATTTATTGCATTTCTTTTTAAGCTTGGTATTTCTGTATTTAACTTTAGATTTAATCCAAATTAATGTTTATTATTGACTATAAAATGTTCATTATAAATTACTTTGTTTTTCTCCATATTTCTAAATTTACTTCAGGACTTATTATTTCAGACAAGTTAATAAAGAAGAGAAGGCCCCAGTTTACCATTTAAGGAGTTACGAAACCACATTTGATGCTGATGGGAATGTGGAAACAATCTCGACTCCCTCCATAGATGAGCATTCGTCAAGAAAGTCTAATGACACCCACTCTCGTAGCTCCTTCGGCAGAGACAGCAGCTTAGGCCGTCGGAGTTATGACCAGCATAGAGGCAAAGAACTAATTCTACCAGCAGTTTTACAGTTTTGGGAAGACAGTAAGTTACTTTAATTCATAAAGATTTATCATTTTTGGTTTTATAAGAACTTGCTAAGCTATTACTCATAACCTTACTGTGCATTTAGAAACTAATACTCACTATGCCGCCTTTCTTTTAGATTGAGTTCATGTTTTGTTTTTCAGCTGAAAATGAATTTATAAGTGCAATCACCACTCTACTTGACCAGTCTAGAGTCCAGTTTAAGTTAGCACCAACCTATGCACTTTATATGGCTGCTCGATACCGAGCCTCTACTCATTTTCGTCCTGAGACTAAGCCAGAAGATCGGGCTATCCGGCTCACTCTTGTAATGAATAAAGTAGCTGAAATGATTCACAAAGTGATTCAGGTATGATATTTGTGACTAGTTGTGCTCGTCTGTGAATCCAAGGACTCGTAGTTTCCAACCTATTGCCACGAAATGCACTCTGTAGTTTAGGTGTATTATAAGAGTAGTGGTCACAGCTAACAGCTTAAAATTAAGTACAGTTATGTGCATATAGTCCCTGTGTAGATTTGCATGAAATTCTGAAACAAATAAATAAAGCATATAGACTTTATGTATTTGTTATTTTTGTTTTAAAAGATAAAGATACAGGAGTAGAATAAGTTATTTATGCAGCTTGTAAAGATATCCACACCAATAGTATTACTGATAAAACAGGCACACAGGTGAATCCAATACAGTTGACACATTTCCTTATGCTGAAATTTATTGTGATTATAATTACACCAGTCGTCTTTGTTTTGGAACCTTTTAGGATTAAGAATAGCAGTTTTAAATGAATCTGTAATAAAAGTCGCTGTTTGAAAGTCAAATTGTCTTGTAATGTGTACACAACCAATTTCTACCAACGTAAAGTCCGTCATTCCTCAGGACCAATACAATGATGCTGTAAGCCTTGCTTTTTGGCTGGCCAACAGCGCGGAACTCCTCCACTTCTTGAAACAGGATCGGCATATCAGTGCCTATACTCTCGATTCTCAAGACTTGCTGGCCGAAAGTGTCCAGGTGGCATTCCGTAGCCTGACATCCTGCTTGCAAGCTGATCTGCAGATGGCCATGCCAGCATTCATAGATAACCTAGAAGATGGCAATGAAGAGGATGGAAAAGCAGGTAGTTGTCTTTATTTTCATAGATTTAAGGCTGCATAAAATATACTCTGCAATTTAATTATAAAGTTATTATGTTGTAAAAAAAATGTTTCTATATTTTTTTCAACTTTTTTTTTTTCCCCCAATCAGCTATGCAGTATTTTTTTATATTGTGTATTTAAAAGTTGTCTATATTTTTTGTTTATTGATTCATGTAGTAATCAGTTTTAAACAGATTAAATAAACTTGTATTAAAAAAACAAAAGAGCCTTTTAATTATAAAAAAACTATTTAAAAATGTATCATATCGATGATGATTTTTACCAAATTAAATAAAACCTTTTTCGGCTCATCACGTTAACAGATGTACCTTTTCTTGTTTTCTTCTAAATTAATGTTTGTCATTTTTAGGTAACGTCCTGGTTGTTTTGTTCAACACCATGGCATTGTTACGAAGATGCAGAGTAAATGCTGCTCTGACAATCCAGGTCTTTTCACAACTTTTCCATTTCATTAACCTCTGGCTTTTCAACAAACTGGTTTCGAGATCATACCACGTGCTGTGCACAAGAGTAGGAGGTTTTCAGCTCAGAAAAAGGCTTTCCAGAATAGAAGCTTGGGCAGAGAAACAGGGGCTTGAATTGGCTGCTGACTGCCACCTTAATAGAATAGTGCAGGTAAATTTCCAGTGTTATTTTCATTGAATGTCCAAGACAATAAAGACTAAGAGTGAACAACTTTTCATTCTTCTTGACGAGGCCATCATTGGGTTAGTGTGGTCATTATTCTGCATATTCATGTAGTTACTTGGATTTGTTACAGTGTAGTCCATTGAAGATTCAATGCTAAAACGTGTAGTCCATTGAAGATTCAATGCTAAAATGCTCCAGTACTGTTTGAGTCCACTGAAGATTCAATGCTAAAATGCTCCAGTACTGTTTGAGTCCACTGAAGATTCAATGCTAAAATGCTCCAGTACAGTGTAGTCCATTGAAGATTCAATGCTAAAATGCTCCAGTACAGTGTAGTCCATTGAAAATTCAATGCTAAAATGCTCCAGTACAGTGTAATCCATTGAAGATTTAATGCTAAAACACTCCAGTTCTGTTAGTGTTTTCAGAAACAATTTTGAAATAATGGCTGGACTAGCTTTTAAACTTTATTCTTCTGGTGGGTTGCACATTACGTTGTGGTTAACATGACAGCTGTAAGTTAGAATGTCCATGGTTTATGCTTCATTATATGAATAAAAATTTTCAATTACACTGTAATTTAGAGCTACAAGAGCTTGCAACAGTAATAATCCATTCCACTATTTGATTGGAGTAGCCCAAGAGTTGCAGTGGGTGCTGTTGACTGGCTGCCTTTTTTCTATAATATCAGTTCAAAATTAGGGACAGCTATCATGGATAGCCCTTGTTTTCTTCTGTGCAAATATCATAGATAAACCAAACCGTTCATCTGGTAGTGAAGAATTTAGTTGGCTTTGAAAACGCAATCTTGTTTAGATTTTATTTCCAGATGATGATGATGATGTTTTGCAATTTAAATGATGTTTGATTCTGTCATCTTATTTTTCAGATGTTTTTCATAAATAACTGGTGTTTGTTCATGTTATTTTTTCAGAAAATGTTGCTTCTTTCTCATTGTAAATAGTGTTTGTTTTTGTGGTTTTTTTTCAGGCAGCAACACTTTTACAAGCTCCAAAAAACACTCCAACTGACATTGCCAACGTTTGTTCATCCTGCTTCAAGCTTAACTCGCTTCAACTTCGTACTTTGTTGGAGAAATACCAGCCTGGACCAGACGAGACTCGTATACCTCAAGAGCTCATTGAAAGTGTGGTGAAGGTAAGAAAATAATTCCTTTTTTTTTCCTATGGCTCTTGGGAAGTTAGTGGTAGGATTTATGATAAATGTTGAACATTAACCTTTGGGAAATTTTCAGTCGGATTTATTTTAAATCTTTACAAGTAATAAAGGCAAACGCAAAACACTGAAAAGAGCATCCAATGTGTACATCTTTTTTTTTTAATTCTGAGATTTTCTGCTATAAAGAACTTAAGGGGTTAAAGTTATTGAAGCAGGAATTTATATTTTGCTCTACTCTACTATTATAAAAAGAAATCTACCAGTGTTTATTGTATCTTTCAGAATGATATTTATTTAAATTCTAGGTAAGAGGAACAGAATATTTCACTTGTAACAAGTTTAAATTACACACTTTTTTTGTTCAACTTGTATAGATTTGGAGTTATTTAGTGGCTTGCAAGATCGAGTTACTTAATAGCTCAAATTTAGATTTTTAAGTTGTATAGCATTTAATTGGACTTATGGTTGTTAACAAGTGACTCTGTTGAAACTTTTTATTTTCGTTTTATTTAACATTAGTTAGAAGTTATTGTTTCGTAGTTTTGAATGATGGATATTACTCATTGATCATGGGTTAGAGAAATTATTTCAAAGATTAAATCTATTAAAGTCCATTCCAACTGATTTTTAGTAAGTGATTTAAAGGTTCCTCAGAATGAAACTTAACCTGCACACTTTTGTAGACTGTGAATGACCCATATTTTATTGGAATCTAAACTGTGAAGTTACCCATATTTTATTGGAATCTAAACTGTGAAGTTACCCATATTTCATTGGAATCTAAACTGTGAAGTTACCCATATTTCATTGGAATCTAAACTGTGAAGTTACCCATATTTCATTGGAATCTAAACTGTGAAGTTACCCATATTTCATTGGAATCTAAACTGTGAAGTTACCCATATTTCATTGGAATCTAAACTGTGAAGTGACCCATATTTCATTGGAATCTAAACTGTGAAGTGACCCATATTTCATTGGAATCTAAACTGTGAAGTGACCCATATTTCATTGGAATCTAAATTGTGAAGTGACCCATATTTTGTTGGAATCTAAACTGTGAAGTGACCCATATTTTATTTGAATCTAAATTGTGAAGTGACCCATATTTTATTTGAATCTAAACTGTGAAGTTACCCATATTTCATTGGATAATCACTTATTGGATTTTTGCTTCTAACTGAAGGTGGCAGAGAACACGGCGGATGAGCTAGTACGGAGCGATGGGCAAGAAGTGAAGTTGGAAGAAGAGGTTGAGCTTCAGCTTCCATTCCTTCTGCCAGAAGATGGCTATTCGTGCGATATTGTTCGTGGAGTCCCTGTTAACCTTCACGACTTTATACACCCACTAGAACAGGCTGGTAAGTCTTTGGAAAACTAGTAAGATAATACTCACCTTTATTGTTTTAGACTTCAATTATTTTAATTATTATTTTCATAGTTCTTTCCAGAAGTACTAAATGTTTTATTCGTATTATTACAAAACAAGTATAAAGTAATGTGTAAAAGAAAAGAATTGTAAGTATTATTTTTTTTCTATAGGTCTCTGTCATCTCACTGTACAGCCAAATTCAGCTGGTTTTTGGACTATATATATGACAGATCAGGATGTTGGGCATTATTCTGTAGAAGTAAGCTTTCTCTTTTGGTTTACTGAAACTTCAAACTTCGTGAAAAATATTTGTTCTAATATAATGACTCACCATACACTCTCTTCTTTAACATGTGCACTTATGTTACATATTTGGTTTTGTAGTTAAGGTTTTCTGGGTATCAACTAAGTTATTCATTCTGATATGTGTTAACTTTACCAAAATGTCATCATCATCATCAGAAACTGAATTGATAAGTCATCTTGATGATGTTAATCTGTGGGTTTCTTTACTAAAACATCTTCCAGGCACCTAGTCCTAGCGATCAGAAGGACCCAGAGCTTCGAACTCCTGGACCTACAGGTCAACCCGAGGTTGTCACCATGAACTTAAAGAAAATTAACAATGGAATGGGGTTAAGCATTGTTGCAGTAAAGGTTCGTAAACAGTAATTTCCTTTGTTCATGATATAATTTTGGTCTCTTACTGCTCCTTATACAGAGATACGCGCATTGACAACATCAGTTTGTAGTAAACATTAATCAGGTTCATACACACATAACTGTTCCGTGCAGAGTGAGATGCAACTGTTTTATGAACTTATTAATAAAAAGTTACAAGTAAAACTATGAGCAGTACTAGTGTGTATATATAGAGTTGTAAATAACCCTGAAATGAAATAGCATGTAAACAGACGAAAAATTAATACAACATTGAAATATAAAAATATGGTTTGTATTTTTGTTGGAGAATTTACTTGGCATAAGCTATTTTATTTGTACAACTTCATTTACATATGTACAGAACATATGTGCCTTTAGGACTACATACACCTATAAGGGCTGTTTGTTTTAGACCTCTAAGTGTTAAGATTTTTTTTTGAATAAATAAAAAATTATGATTAAACAATTCTCTGTGTATTTTCGTAAGTAAGTGTGACAATTATTTCAGAGCTATTAATTGTGAATGAAAAGCTAGTCTGATTAATGAAACCAATTTCAAACTTGTTTTGGTCATTTGATCTACGTGTTTCCAATATTTAGAACAATAATGCCAGCAGAATGGGCCAGAAAAAGTTGAAAGACTTATTGAGATTAATTAATGCTATTCTTGTTGCTCCATTTGTTGCAAACTGGCTTTTGTATTTCTTACATTGGATCTAGTTTGAAGCGGTTTTGTTTTTTTTATCTCAACCTGACACTCAGTTTCAGTATTTTTGTTGTTTTTAGGGAACCACCCAGGACAAGTTAGGTATATACATCAAGTCAGTAGTAAAGGGAGGCAGTGCTGATCAGGTAGGTGTGTTCGATTAATAATATATGTAACCTAGAAACGCTGTTCGATTGATAATATATGTAACCTAGAAACGCTGTTCGATTGATAATATATGTAACCTAGAAACGCTGTTCGATTGATAATATACGTAACCTAGAAACGCTGTTCGATTGATAATATACGTAACCTAGAAACGCTGTTCGATTGATAATATACGTAACCTAGAAACGCTGTTCGATTGATAATATACGTAACCTAGAAACGCTGTTCGATTGATAATATACGTAACCTAGAAACGCTGTTCGATTGATAATATACGTAACCTAGAAACGCTGTTCGATTGATAATATATGTAACCTAGAAATGCAAAAGCTTTTCTAAATATCATTTGAACTGAACATCTGTGTATTTTTGTTCATACAGACATGAGATCTGTAAGTTGAACCCTAACTCGATTATTTCTGGTATCTGCTAAACGTTAAATCACGTTGAAAGTGACGATTAACGTAGCAAGCACATTCACCCTTTTAAGTTCTGAATTGAGATAAAAGTATTTTCTCCGTCGTGGATACAATAAATGTACTTACCATTTCTTCTTCCTTTATTATAAACAGTCGAGATTGTACTCTCATTATGATGACTTTTAGCCGTATTAAAATGTACACAAAAATTAATTATCGGTTGTATTTTATTGCACAGATTGTAAAGTAACTTTGAATTTATGTCTAGGATGGAAGACTTAAGGGTGGCGACCAGTTACTCAGAGTAGATGGACACTCGCTTATTGGAATCTCGCAAGAAAAGTAAATTAAATATATATTTTTTTTCATTTTTGTGCAGAATCTTTCTTTTGGGAGTTGTAATCATGCTAGCATGGTACCACATATTGTTGTGTTTTCTAGTCTAACTTATAACTATTGAAATTTTGTAAACTCTGTTTAGTCTGAAAAAGCTTCTGTGTGAAAAACTTTAAAATAATCACCATCCAGGTATATGTTTACGGATCTTTCAGAATTATATAACGTTTCAGAAAATAACAACAAAAACTGTTAATAATAGTAAAATTATTTTTTAACGTCATGATCTGGAAGTTTCCAGTATAGTTTATCTGATAGACACGTGTTGTGTTACTGGTGTTATGACCTGGAGGTTTCAGTATAGTTTTCTGATAGACACGTGTTGTGTTACTGGTGTTATGATCTGGAGGTTTCCAGTATAGTTTTCCTGATAGACATGTGTTGTGTTACTGGTGTTATGATCTGGAGGTTTTCAGTATAGTTTTCCTGATAGCCACGTGTTGTGTTACTGGTGTTATGATCTGGAGGTTTCCAGTATAGTTTTCCTGATAGACATGTGTTGTGTTACTGGTGTTATGATCTGGAGGTTTTCAGTATAGTTTTCCTGATAGCCACGTGTTGTGTTACTGGTGTTATGATCTGGAGGTTTCCAGTATAGTTTTCTGATAGACACGTGTTGTGTTACTGATGTTATGATCCAGAGAGTTTCTAATATAGCTTGTATGATAGATACATGTGTTACTGGTGTTATGATCTGGAGGTTTTCAGTATGGTTTTTCTGATAGACACGTGTTGTGTTATTGGTGTTATGATCTGGAGGTTTCCAGTATAGTTTTCTGATAGACACGTGTTGTGT